TTTTTTTTCAAGAAACTTAAGGAAGCTCACCTCGAAAGTGATCCCTGTGGCGCAAAAGTAATCGGATTCTATCGAGACAGAGGCCGAGTTCCAAGTCCCTAAGCAGCAACCGCCGTTCGGGAGATTATCCGAAGCTTTGTCGTGCCACGTTATAACCGTTGACGACGGCTCGTTTTCGTCGCCTATGAACGAGATGTACGGCTTGTTCACTGGTACCCGTACCTTCTCTCTGCAATTTTTTTTTTTTCAATAAAATTTTATCAGAACATCGCAAAATGCAGAAATTTCATTAGTGGGCAGTTACAGAAAAACCAACAAAATTAGCGAGAGAGAGAGAGAGAGAGAGAGAGAGAGAGAGAGAGAGAGAGAGAGAGAGAGAGAGAGTGCCCACTACTGACTCATGCAACTAACTCACTATCCCACCAAATCAAAATGCACACGCACACACTCAACCAACTGCTGCATGCATGAAAACCCAAAAAAATAAAAAATACAAAAATAATAATAATAATGAAAATGGGGAGCTACAAATTCAAGAGTCACCATAGGAAAGCAAACAATAAATGAAATAAAAACTTATCAAAAAAAAAAATAAATAAATAAAAAATGGAACCTGTAAACTCCAGCAAGAATGTGAATCTTGACCCTCTGCACATTATTTTCCGGCACCATATCGACTGCGCCTTGCACCGTAAACGAATCTCCTCGGCCGTATTTATCGACCACGATTACTAATTTATTCCGATTGTAATTACCACCGATATCTCTCAAAGGAAAGTTACGTGGAGGACCCTCCATTTTCAAGTCTCTCCACGTAATATAATTCCGACGAGTGCCGTTAATTTGGCCGAGCCCGGCTTTAGCTTCAAACGTAACCACCAAGAAGGCCGTAACCCAACTCCATAAACAAGGAAAACTCATTGCGAGAGAGAGTGAAAAAAAAAAGAAGGGAAAAACAGAGTAAGTTGCAGAGTGTAATGAGAAACAAGTGAAGGCAATAAATATAGGAGCGTTTGATAATGACTATATTATTGTGTCTTAACGTTAATGTACTTATGTTTGATCATACCAAGAGCTTCTTCAGTAGTTAATAATACAGAGGTTGATTGTGTTTAATTTATTAATATAATAATTAATGGTGGTGGAAACAAAAGGTTGAGTCACGGAGTTCTTGCTTTGGGGAATAATTAATCGATTGAGGGATGTTATTGTTTGTTTATTGAGAGAAAAAAAAAAAGATGGATTGTTGGGCAGCTAACTTGTGGTGGGTTATTTTAGACCAGTATACTTAGTGGGAGGATGTGGTTAATCAAGTCTTTTCCTAGTTTTGTAGCAAATTATTTTTTTATCGAGTGGGAAATGAATCTCGACTTCGAGTCTATCTCTCACGAGGAAGATGGTTTGGAATTTGAAATCGGTGATGGACTTCGAGTCTATCTCGCGAGGAAGGGGGTTTGGAATTTGAAATCGGCGTACATCACACACGGGAAGAAAATTAAGGTTTAGACATTCAAAATCACGGTAGACATGGACAATTCATCTAACAACTGCCAAGAATTAGAAAATTAATTAAACAGCTAGAAAATTAATAGAGAAGTAGAAGAAGGTCGAGAGCGTCGGGAATAATCTCATCATATCCTAAAATTTATATCAAACGTATGTTTTTCGGTATAGAATCTGAGACTCTCACCTTAATCTCATCATATCCTAAAATTTATATCAAACGTATGTTTTTCGGTATAGAATCTGAGACTCTCACCTTAACGCCTAGTAGTTCTCTCTCAATAACTTTTGTGAGGATTGAATATAAACAAATAAATAAGAAGATTAATACAAGTCTAGAGGTTCGCGTCCAATAACTTTCGTAATATGGGTTTGGATATAAACAAATAAGTATTTAATCAATGAACCTATAAAAGATACAATTACGAACATGTCTACCCTGATCGAACAATGATCGGATACTCTATGCCCTTCTGGTAGTTATCTATCTAGACTAGATGTCTATAAATCAACTAATTATGATATTCAAATAATTAAAACAGGCTTGAACTATCACACAAACACAAATTCGATACAAGAATAAAAAATCCCTAGCCCTGGGTGGATGAATTAACTCACGCTCGAATCGAATTTCATGTTAATCAAAATCGAGAATTGGCATTCAATCAACAATAAGAATAAAGAAACGAAAACTTACAATAAACAATAGAAATCATAAGTGTTCAAATGAAATTGAATGACAAAATTCAAGGTTTCATTAGATAAATCGAATTAAGAGCTTAAATTTAATTTGAAGGTTTCATGATTAATAGAAGTGAATAATCGTGCAAAATTTACGAAGTATATATAGTATAGATAATTCACTGCACATTGGATTAACAGTGATCAATCAAATTTACTGGCTGCACATGAGCTAACAATTAGGGCTACAAACGAATCGAGCGGCTCGCGAGCGCTCAAGTCAAAGCTCGATTCGAACCCATATTTTGTCTTGTCGAGCAGCTCGAGATACACGTTAAATTACTAAAATAACCCTTATTATATATATTAACATAGGTGCTTAATTTCCACTTAAAAATTTTCGAGCCGAGCTCGAGTATTTTGATTTCGAGTCGAGTTCGAGCAGCTAAAAAAAAAAAAAAACTCAATCCTGCTCAATAAGGCCAATGTTCGACTCAGCTCCGCTTGTTTGCAGCCCTCCTAACAATAACACATTGCATTCTGAATAAACTAAACAAGAATCCAATATTAGGCTAGAAACAAAGTAGAATTTTATTATAACCCATCCACAGATTACAGCTTGTCAACAAATTTTGAGGCAGCTACTGCTATATATCACTTCACATCACCTGAAAGACTATAACAGAATCATATGATTGACTTACCAATACAAATCTGGAGCCAAAATGGTCAAAACTATGTTTTCATCCTTCATCCTTCGGTGTATATAAGAGCGTTAATTTAGGCTCGGCTCCCTTGTTACTTTATACATTATTCAAGAAAACAAAAAGGAATAATGCCGTCAAAAATTACACGCGGGCATTGGCAAGATTCTCAAAGCTAGAGCTCGATCTCATGCTGTATTCTGCTACCAACTTTGCAAAAGAAGACGACTTGTCCTGCAGCAGCTTTTCCGGAGCATCATATTCCTTGACAAGACCTTAACAATGGACGGATAAAAGAAAAAGAAAAATTGAAATTACGATAAATTTGAGAGGCAATGAAAATTTGACGCGATATGAAATGAAAGATTCGAGAAAATACCATTATCCAAGAGTAAAACCATATCACTGTCGAGTACGGAGGTTATCCTGTGAGCAATTGTTAGCACTGTTGAGTTTGTAAAATGCCGTTTGAGGGTCTGTTGAATGAGATTATCAGTTGCCGTGTCTACTGAGGCCGTGGCCTCATCGAGAACCAAAACCTTGCTTTTCTTTAGGAGTACACGTCCAAGGCACACCAGCTGCCTTTGGCCCACACTCCAATTCTCTCCATTCTCAGACACTGAAAATATTACGATACAGAATTTAATTTTCAACTCAGCTAAAATATTCTGTAACCAAAATAAATAAATCCAGTGTAAAATGAAAAATACCTTTGGAATCAAGTTTCTCGGGCTTTTTCCGGACCTCGTCCCCAAGCTGGCATTTTTCGAGAGCCTTAATATGAAAAAGGAGAAAACTAATCAAAAAATCATCAGACAATAGTTTCTTTTCATTTATTATCCTTTTTGTGTCGTAACCTTGAAAAAACGCACCTCCCATATTTGATCATCTGAATACTCCTCGAGGGGATCCAGATTGCTCCGGATGGTTCCCTCGAACATGGTTGGATCCTGAGGAATTATGCTCAATCGAGATCTCAAATCGTGAAGCCCGATGGATGTGATGTCTACACCATCGATCAATATTTTCCCGATTGTGGGCTCCACAATACGGAAGAGGGTCTGAATGAGAGTAGATTTACCACTTCCCGTCCTCCCAACTATTCCGGTCCTCTTCCCTCCAAAGAAAGTACACGTGAGGCCTCGTAACACAAAAGGCATGTGAGGTGCATACCGAACCTAGAACAATAATAAGCAAACTCTCTTGATCAAGGAAAAAAAAAAGAAAAGAAAAAATGAAAACCGAAATGATAAGCGCATATATATACACACACACACTTTATTGGTGAAGTGCATTAAAAAAAAAGACTAAAAATCACCTGAAGATCTTGAATATCGACTTCTCCGTTCAAGGGCCATAAACTGTGTGGCCTATTTTCCTCTACAACAAGAGGAGGTTCAGCTGGAATAGAAGTATACTGAAATAATCTTTCAACCGATATGATTCTGTTCTCCATGAAACAAAGATTCCAAACAACCCATGCTTGCAGCATGTTTAAGTTGAGACCGTAAGTCACGGCCAAACCAGCAACACCTACACACAGTCGATAACAAAACGAGTTAGACATCAGACAGTTAAGACGTAAAAAGCAAAAGTCTAAAAAAAATATATATCGTCAGAAAGTTGATCACTGACTAGGATCAATTGTTCCTTCTGGAATAGAGATCAACAAGATCAATGAGAAGGCAAATGTCATGAGGGACAACATGTCCAAACGAAGGCATAGCCACTCCATGGCACCAGCCGTGTTGAATTTTGGTCTCGAATATCCATCAATTAATTTCATACTCAAGTCACGGAATCTTGGTTCCTGGTCGAAACATCTAATCGTGCTCGATCCAGAGATTGTTTCGGAGAAGTGCTGTATAACTGGAGCTTTTGTTATCCCACACAACCGAGCAAGTTCACGTGCTGAAGCTATGTAATACCGCTGGAAAAAGGAAGATAATTAATTAATTTACAAACACGTTGATACATGAAAGCACAGATTAGCATGTAAAATGCCAAAGAAGAGGGTAAAAGCACAGATTAGCAAGTAAATGAATAAGGAAGAAAAAATAAAAATGTTGTCCGAAATTAAGTGCAGGAACTTTTGAAACTTACATCAGCATAGAAATCACTTCACTATAAATTAAACAATTTATGAGGCCGTACAATGACATTCAGTTATGGGATTAAACATGAGGGGAGAAAAATAATGTTATGATGTTAAGATGGCAAATACAGATACTGTTGGATAGACGATGAAGTAAAAATCTTAGTTAATCCACTGTTTCCTTCGTAATACTTAATCCCCTTATTAATATATAGTAGGGTTTTAGCTGGTGGCAATGTTTCTTAACAAGTACCTAATTTCAAAGCCATCATTTGTTACTTAACAAATAAAGCAAACTTTCTGTTCCCTTTTAAATTCCACTGATAAGGAGAATGGAGGAATATTGAGGTTTACCTGTAACCATATGCAAACTGCAATCACAGGGAAAAACACAATGAAGACCTGCCATGCGACCTGCGACATTACAGCAATAATTCCCAGGAGCTGTATTATGGCAAAAGCAAATAGAGCAATTATAGATGCCGTATTCAAGTCCACTGTGCTTTGGTCTGTAGATGCCTGTAAAAGAAAAGGAAAACTACGGTAAAAAATTACACCTGAAGATAATGATTCTAAAAGAGTCATTAAATCACAATCTTAACCTTCAAATATGAGTAAAAATGTAAAATAAAAAAAAAAATACTAAAATCATGGCAGACAAAAAAAAAAGCACATATTCACGTACTCTGTTGAGAATTCGTCCACTCGGGGTGGAATCAAAGAAAGACATAGGGGCACGAAATATGCACATATGCATTTTGTTGAAGAGGATGTTTGCAGTCTTGAAGCCAATAGTCACAACGACCAAGGCTCTGGCCAAAATGCAAAAGGAACTTCCGACTGACAAAGCAACATAAACAAGAATGAGAGTATATCCCGTGACATGAGGTGGCACGTCCTTCGACACAGGTGTTGCCCAAGCCATCCAATAATTGCTT